TGAGGCTGTAACTAAACTCACCTTTTGGTCTGTCTCCCACCCTCAGCTGGTATATGAGTTTTTCCTGCGTTTCTTGGAGAGTCCAGACTTCCAGCCCTCTGTGGCCAAGAGATATGTGGATCAAAAGTTTGTCCTGATGGTGACTTGGGGAGCCCAGGCTGGGGTGGTACCATGCAGCAGGCACAGGCTATCTGGGGAACATGGGGATAGGATGGGAAAAAATAGGGGTTGACACCTGGCCTTATATACCCTAACCCTGGGTCCTACAGCTCCTGGAGCTATTTGACAGCGAGGACCCTCGGGAACGTGAGTACCTCAAGACCATCTTGCATCGGGTATACGGCAAGTTCCTGGGTCTCCGGGCCTACATCCGCAAACAGTGCAACCACATCTTCCTCCGGTGCGTGACTGCTGCCTGCTCAGCAGAGACCTGGGAGGGAGGCAGGGAAGGAGGGCCCTGCTGGGACTACCAGGCTGTGTGGACTGTATGTTTACCAAGTTCTGTCTCTGCAATGTATAGTACTGATGATACAAAGCCTGTGAAATTAGTAGAGAATGAGTTTTCTTTCCATTTTACAGATGAGCAAATAGAGGCCAAGTAAGAGTATAGGAAAATAGAGGCCAATTAAGTAGTTTAGAGGGACTAGGGCAGTCCAGTGCAATATAGAATCTAGATCTTCTGATCCTTATCAGGCTTTCTACAAACATGTACTGAGCACCATTCCACTGAGCACTGGGAGACCCTGTGACCTTGTAGTTGAGACTATGGTTGGATATGAGTTTGGTTCAAGTATTCGGGTGAACTTGGGCAAGTCCTTCAAGTTCTCTGATTACTTCACTCTTTGAAGTGGTTACACTGCCTGTGCTAAATGTGGGTCCATTCTTCAGATGAAGCCAGATGGGGCCTCCAAAACACCCGGCATAGCTCCTAGCCTGAGGTGGGGCCGCTGAAATATTAGCTGTTGTTTCTAGTGATAAAATAGAGGAGACATGACCCATGTTCTCTAGGAGCTCAGAGTCCATTAGCTTCCCCACTTATTAACTTTGAGGCAAGTAGCCTTTTGTTAGTCTCAACTTCATCTCTGTAATGGCTTTCATATGCCCTGCCTGCCAGGGGGGATTTCGGGAATTACAGTGCAGGGTAGAGATGGTTGTCGTTGCTTTGGTTGACTGCGTGAAGGTTGAAGGTCCTAGGCTGGGTGCCTGCTGCTGGCTGGCTGGCTGGCTGGGCATCAGGTAAGGAGTGCTAGGGACTGGAAGAAAGGAACTGGGGCTGTCTCACAGATGAGAGGCTGAGCTGGGACTGACAGTGGCGAGATGGCTGGGCTGGGCAAGACACTTTGCCTGTGGGTGTGGACTCAGTGGGGCCTGGTTTGGGGCGCCAGGAAGGGAGCACTCCTGTGGTTTGGGGAACGTTGGACAGCCGTGTGGGGTGAGTCAGGGTGGCTGGCAGGAAGACTGATGGAGAGCTGGACCTGTCCCAAGCTCCCACCCTTTAGATTCTTCTCTCCTGCAGGTTCATCTATGAGCTGGAGCACTTCAATGGTGTGGCTGAGCTGCTAGAGATCTTAGGAAGGTAATTCTCCTTAGCTTTGGCTAGAACTGGGGTTTCTGGTAGGCGGGACTGGGGGGCTGATTGGATGAGCCCTGCTCCTCTCTTCTGTCCATTCCAAAGCATCATCAATGGCTTTGCGTTGCCCCTGAAGACCGAGCACAAGCAGTTCCTGGTTCGAGTCCTGATCCCCTTGCACTCTGTCAAGTCGCTGTCTGTTTTTCATGCCCAGGTGAGCCCCAGGCCTGGCCCTGCAGCAGCAGGTGCTGCTGACACTCAGGGCTGCCTGTGGGGCCAGGAAGTCAGATTGACCCTTGCTGCATCCTATCTTACCTCTGAGTCTCTACTAATTCAGTCTCCTCTACCTGAGAGCTGACCTCAGACACCAGCTCTGTGCTGCTTGGCACTCGAGAGCTTGGTGCCTTTAAGTCCAAAGCAGCAGTAAGTGCTCAGTGAACAAGAGTGTGAAGGCAGTAATGAGCAGATACCTGGCATGCTGTCCTGGGCAGCTAGTTCTTGGCTCCTGGCCCTTCCTGACCTTGGCTCCTTCTTTCCATTCTGGCCCTGCAGCTGGCGTACTGTGTGGTGCAGTTCCTGGAGAAGGATGCTACCTTGACGGAGCATGTGAGTACCTTGGAGGGAAGGTGGGCCCCTCACTCTGCGTATCTGACTCCTCCTCCACCCTACAGGTTATTCGGGGGCTCCTCAAATACTGGCCTAAAACCTGCACCCAGAAGGAGGTATGAAGGGCTCTCACAACCCTGAGAGTGGGTGGGAGGGCTCAGCTTCCAGAAGGCGAGCAGGTGCATGCTTTAGGAGAACGTGAGCTGCTGCCCTGCCCTCTCCCCAGGTGATGTTCCTGGGGGAGATGGAAGAGATTCTTGATGTCATTGAGCCCTCCCAGTTTGTGAAGATCCAGGAGCCCCTCTTCAAGCAGGTGGCTCGCTGTGTCTCCAGCCCCCATTTCCAGGTATGTGCCAAAGGCAGGTGGAGTCAGAGCAGGGGCACAGCCTGGCAAAGTTTCAAAGTTGGCCTAACATAGTTCCCTCTTCCCTCAGCTTCTCTTCCAGCCCTAGACCTGATAATAGGGAGATGCTGGCCTTGGGTCATGAGACCTAGGGTCAAAGCGCAGATCGGTATTCCACTGGCTGAGAGGCTTTGGAAGGAGCACTTTCTCTGAGTCTAAGTGGGTTTCCCTGACTATAAAATGGGCCAACAATAGTCTCTTCGTAGTGTAGTGACAGGAAGAGGCGCTCATAGCAGTGAACACATCAGGAAACTGACACAAAGTGGGCAGCAGGATTGTTAGCCCCTCTCTTCTTTCCTTGGTAACCTTAGACCTCACTGGCCCCATTTTCTGTGAGAAGGCTCAGTTCCCCATGCTAGTACACTCACCCCCACTCCTAGGAGCCATAACCTGGTGGAAGCTGGTTCTTCCTCATGATGGCTCTGGTATTTCACTTTTAAAACACCTTGAAGTACAGGAACTCATTTCATTCTGACAACAGCTGGTGGAGATGGGTATTCTTAGCCCCATTCACACAGCAGACAGCTGAGGCTGAGGAGCTGAATGCCTCACAAGGCCGCACGTGTGCAGTGGGCTCTGGAGGAGCCAGGACTGCCGATGTCGACTGTACAACCAGTGCTCCTTTCTCTCCTCCATTTGTTTCCTCCCGTGGGTCAGAGGAGCCCCCAGGATGGGCTGTGGAGGTCGGAGGATCTGGGTTTGGGGTTAAGGATGAAAAACAGACCTTGTCCACTCAAAAGCCATTACCAGGCCCTCTCTACTGCTTCCCCTGCCCAGGTTGCAGAGCGGGCTCTGTATTTCTGGAATAATGAGTACATCCTGAGCCTCATTGAGGACAACTGCCACACTGTGCTGCCTGCGGTATTTGGGACCCTCTACCAAGTGTCCAAGGAGCACTGGAATCAGTGAGTGCCCAAGCTTTGTCCAACCCTTGGAGACAGGCACCACAGCCAGTCCAGCCCCCAGGGCCACTTCTAGTGGACGGAGAGCAAATGTCAGGATGTTAAAGGGCGGTGAAAGAGCAAGTGGTCGGGGACCAGGGATGAGCAGAATGTTATTTCATTAAGCTCCTTAACACCTCTCCTCGACTATGCCAGAACCATTGTATCGCTGATCTACAACGTGCTCAAGACTTTCATGGAGATGAATGGAAAGCTGTTTGATGAGCTTACAGCCTCCTACAAGCTGGAGAAACAGCAGTGAGTACTGGGTAGAAGGCTGGCCAGGGGAGGGGCAGAAAAGTAGGAAGGAATCAGACCCTCAGGCTAGCGGGAATATGAAGAGGACCCATCCAGTGCCGTCAGCTTCACCCTGTTTCCAGCAGGGGGCTGCCCACTGACTGCTCTCGCTCCCATCTGTCCCAGTGCCTCTGTCAGGGCAGCTCCCAGCCCAGTCCCTCCTCTCCTTTCTCTCCTCACCTCCCCTCTAGGCCGGGACTTCCCGTGGAGGCCTAGTCACTTTACAGTGGGGTGGTGGTGTGGGAGCTTAGACTGTAGGCAGCTGGGGAGGAAGGGCTGCCTCACCTCTCTCCCCAGGGAGCAGCAGAAGGCCCAGGAACGGCAGGAGCTATGGCGAGGTTTGGAGGAACTGCAGCTACGCCGCCTACAGGGGACCCAAGGGGCCAAAGAAGCCCCCCTCCCTCGGCCTACACCCCAGGGGGCTGCCAGCGGGGGTCAGAGCTAGACAGATCTAGAAGGAGAGAAGCTAAACCCAGAGCTATCAGCCCCTCCATCCCTTCTGCCCAGGGGCCCAGTGAGGCCCATGCCTCCCCGGGGCTTGCCAGAGTGGTTCTAGGACTCCCTGCCAGCCCCATGGGAGCAGCTTTTATGGTGGGGGGGACAAGAATGCAAGATGGTAGTCTTGGCAGCAGAACTCTCAGGCCTTTGTGGCAAGATTCTGGCAAGACTAGACCAGGGCAACTATGTGACTGGGAAGCTGCCATCAGGGATCCTCCCCTGCCCTATACAGCTGGGCTCCCATCCCTGCTCCTGTCCTGGGACATGGGCACTTAGCACCTGGCCTGGCCTGCCTCAGCCTGGCCTGGCCTTCCTCATCCCCACCATGGGGGCACAGTCTATTTATTCTGCCCAGCTCACCCTCAACAAGACACTGTCCAGGGACATTCTCCTCTCCCTTGCCCTGTACTTCCTTGTCCCCTTTTTATTTATTGGGCAGGGGGAGGGGTGAGGGCACAGGCGAGAAGAGATTCACATTGTCCTGGGGTGAGGGGGGGGTTACAGTAATCATGGTCTGCCCCCTTCATCTGGCTAGGGGGCAGACTTAATAAAGAGCGAAACTCAAGCCTTGCCTGCTTTATTGAGGACAGGCGGGAAGGACAGCGTAGCAGTGAGACTGCTCTGAAGGCCGGGTAAAAGGGGGGAAAGCCCATCTTCGCTGGCTCTAAAGAGGGTCAGAGCTGAAGCAGCCCCTCATTTGAGAGATTCGCCCATAGCAAATCAGTGGCAGGACCGGAGCCTGGGCCATCCAGGGACTAGTAGCGGGAGAGACGGCACATATCACAGCGGCAGGCCCTGGCAGTGAAGATCTCAATCTCCCCCCGCTGGCTCCCCACGCAGTTCAGCCACACCTTCACCTGTTGGAGGAGGGACCCAAGTTTGCTCCCATCCCCTCCCACCCTGGGTCCCCCCCTCACGCCCCCATCAGGCCCAGGCCCCTCACCTTTTTTAGGCTACTAATGGTGCAGCACTGAGAGACAGAGGTGATATTGTGTCGATAGCCACTGGCCACCAGCACGGAGTACCGGGAAGGGAAGGCACTAGACTCACAGTGTCCTACACAGGCCTGTGCCACATGGGAGCCCTGGCAGGTGCCATGGCGGTCACTTCGCACTGTCACATTGAAGGCTGGAAGGAGACAAGGAAGCAGGCTGTGAAGACTGCTGGCCGGGGTTATCCCAGTGCTCAGTGGTTCACCTCTGCTCTTGTCCCCAGTCCACTCTTCCTAGAGAGTTACTCACGGTGCAAGTGGCAGCCTGGGATGGCTGCCTCCTGACAATGGCCTTCAATGACTGCCAGGACCAGCAGGCAGAGGAGCAGGACACGTGGTGCCATGGGCATCTGAAATAGAGTGGGTGGGAGGGGGAGGCCAGGCTGCTGGGTCTTCTGACTGGTGAGGTCTATCCTGTCTTTGGCAGGAATGTGTGTGTGTGGGGGGGGTGGGTGTGGCTCTGCCTGGGCTACTCTGAAACGGTATGAGTAGCCATTTCTGGATGGGACTTGTCATCCTTCTGTGCAGGTTTTCCCTGGAATGTCCCATCCCATCTGGGGTACAAACCTCTTCCCTCTCCATGCGCAGCTCTGGCCAACAAGGCCCTGGCTCACAACCCTCTCACCCTCCCCAGCTCCACCTGCTCTCCCGCTCTGGCAGCTCACCAGTCCAGCAGAAACAGGCTGTGGACTCCCAGTGCCTCCTGCTGGTCTCCAAACTGGTGCCGGCTCTCCAGGCTTTTATCATCAGTGTTTTAGAGCCACGCCTTCCGAGATATCAGCTTTCAGGCCCCTCCTAGCCTGAAGCCTCAGTGCAGTCCCACCTGGGATCGGGAGCAGTCTCTGCTGACATCTCTCTAGGGTAGAGCACTTCCAGGAGTGAGGCCAGCTCAGGAGCGGCCCAGTGTGACATGTGTGCAGCTGGGCTCTCTTCCCACTGAGAGCTTGGACAGGACTCTGCCCTGATCAGCCATTCTGTCTAAAAACTTCTACCCTCAGTGCTGTTGCCTATCCGCCTTTTAGTGATTGCAAAGTAAAGGGATTAAAATGTAACCTTTTTCTTTTTCTTAAAACATAATCTCATGCATCCCAGAAGCAACCTTAAACTTCTGATCCTCCAGCCTCCACCAACAAAGTCCTAGAATAACAGGCATAGCCACCATATCCAGCTTATGTTGTTCTGGGGTCAAATCCAGGGCTTTGTGCATACTAGGGAGGCACTCCACCAATGGCGTTACAAGATCCATTTGTTCAAGGGGTGTCCCACCAGTGGGGGCACCTAAGCTGTGCTTGGTGGCAGACTAGGGGTATGTCCATGTCAGTCTCCCAGTAGTATCCTGTGAATGCCTTCTCCTCATGTGGCCAGCTGCAGAGTGAATTCTGAGCTAGAGAATCTCCCAGTCCCTGAAACAATAGGGACCGGACCCCATATAAACAGAGCTGAATCCCAATCTCAGCACATCTGTGGCATCCAGCTCTGGTTATAGAGGAGAGGCTACCTACTAAACATCACATTCAAATATCCTGCTATCTATCCATGGTGCTAAATGACACCCGAGACAAGAATGTGACATGTTGAGATGTAGTTCAGTGGCAGAGCACTTGCCTAGCAGCTTGAGGTTTTGGGTTCTATTTTTAGCACCATAAAAAATAAATAAATAACAAGCCAGGTGGTGGTGGTGCACTCAGGAGGCAGAGGCAGGCGGACCTCTAAGTTTGTGGCCAGCCTGCTCTACAGAGTGAGTTCCAGGACATGCAGAGCTGCACAGAGAAAAACTGTCTTGGGGGCAGGGGAACCAAACGAAACGAAACAAAACAAACAAACAAACAAAATCCAGAAACCAACTAACCAAACAAAACAAAAAAAATCCCAAACCAAAACAAAGCACAATAACGAAAGCCTTAGCCAACATTAGCTGGAAGTTGGAGAAGGCCCAGATCAGTGTCTACAGTGGTTGCAAGCAGCCCCTCTCAGTCCACTACCACACCGGCCTGGCTCCAAAGACTAGGGCAGTCCACAGCCTGCCAGAGCTCAAGGGATCCTCAGAGCTTTCAAATCCTACCTCTCACTTTCCAGATGAGAAGAAAGGGCCACCGAGGTCCTTTGGTAAGCTGGTCCCAGTCAGTGTGGGCACTCAGGTCTCCAGGCTTTAAGCTGTACCCTTCAGCAGCAGCTGTCAGATTATGCTTGGTATCTTAGGACGAAGGTAGTAAACAGAATTTGGGAGGAACTGGAGGTGTCCGTGTTGCTCACCCACCTGTCCCTGCACTCTTGCCTGACTTTTAGTGTCTTCCTGCTCAGGTCCCAGGTCCTTGATTGGCAGGCCCTCCCAGAGCACTCCCTTTTCTCTGTCAAAGTAGAGGCAGCCTAGCAAAGGAACGAGGAGGGACCTTAGCATTCTAGCCCTAGGCTTCCCATTAGGAACCCTCTGGCATGTGACAGACAGTTTAAAGAGCTGAGGTGGCAAGGGCTCCTTACCTACAAGTAGTCCACTCTAATATCAGACTTCACTAAAAGTTAAAATGCGGATGCATTTGTTCAGAGCTAAAAGGAGTTCTCTTAAATTTCCATCCATTATTCTTTTGGTTCTCTGAGGCCGCATAAGTCCACTTTAAATAGTTCTCTAAATGGCCCTTTGGTTGAAGAAAGGACTTGGGTTCCTTGGCCTGCCTTCTCCAGGGGCCCCCTAACTTGCACAGGCTTCCAGTTAACTGATGGACTACTTTGTGTTACTGTGAAGGAACCAGAGGGAGAAACAGGTGGGGAGCATTTTACATTTGAGGCATTATCCTCTGGGGACAAACCAAATAAAGAAGCGTTTCTTAGGGGCAGTGGGACTCAGGCCAGTGAATCTCGTGTGACCCTATTCCCTGACCTCTGGTAAAGAATCGTAAGAGCTGAGGTCAGGTGAACATCCATGTGGTTCACTAAGCAACAACCCGTGACCCGGGGAGAAGGTCGGTGAATGCTTCTCCGGTCTCTCATGCTCTGCTTCTTCAAGTTCAAGCAATAATCCATCATGAACAATTATTGGCATTAGAATCCTAAGCACTAGAGACAAAAGACTTAAACTTTGGGGCAGTGGAATTCTTTCCTTAGTGTTTTAATTTTTATTAAAATTACATCTATTCTGTATGAATGTACAAGCCATGGTGCATCCATGGAGGCTGAACTCAGGTCACTAGGTTTGGCTGTAGGTGCTTTACCATCAAGTCACCTGCTGTCCCTTAGTGCTGTTCCGGCTTGTTTTTCTAACTTTGGGAGTGGGGATGGGGTGTGCAAGTGCCTGCAAGGCCAGAAGAGGGTGTCAGAGCTGATGGAAGTGGACTTAGAGGGCATTGTGGATTGCTTGTTGTGGGGACTGAGAACCAAACTCAGGTCCTCGGCAATAGCAGTGTGCACTTTTTTTTTTTTTGGTTTTTCGAGACAGGGTTTCTCTGTGTAGCTTTGCGCCTTTCCTGGAACTCGCTTTGGAGACCAGGCTGGCCTCGAACTCACAGAGATCCGCCTGGCTCTGCCTCCCGAGTGCTGGGATTAAAGGCGTGCGCCACCACCGCCCGGCTGCAGTGTGCACTCTTAACCACCATCTCTTCAGCCCCATCCTTAGTGTTTTAAATAGGAAAAAAACAAAGGCAAACAATAGGAGGATTCAGTCTGGTGCCCTCTTCCCCATAACCCAGGAATTACAAGAAAAGGATGGCGTATGGTGGTACAGACCAGGAGCCCAAGACAGGAAGATGGGGCACCTGAAGCCAGCCTAGGTGATTTAACAGTAATGCTTGTCTCAAAAATAAACAAAAGAAAAAAAAAAAAAGGAAGAAACTAAAGCAAATGATGTTTGGTATAGCTCAGGAGCCACTGCAAGAGAAAGTCCTCTTTCCGACCGACCAACACCACCGTGCTGTGGTGCCTGGCAGGCTTACTGCCAGCTCTTCCTGAAGAAATACCGGAACGGAAGGAGAGTGCTGTAGGGAAGAGAGCAGAGGAGTCTGAGACTGAGGAGGTCGCTTCCCTTCTCCCTGGTTCCCATTAGTGCTTCATTAGCTGGGGCATTTTGCTCTGGGGAACTACTGAATGGAAATTCAGGTCCAAAACAGCATTTGAGAAGGTACCCAAATTAGATTATATCCAGAAGGGGGAAATAAAAGAAAAGAATTGCAGTAGGATGCCTGAGCTCTAGATAGACACATTTGCTCAGTGTTCTCTACAAAAATGATTCTGAACACACACCTAGATTCAGAGGGGAGAGTGGAAGCATTCTAGACTCAAACCATCTGAATAACCTAAGAAAGACCAATGTTTCTGTTCAAGCAACATTTGTGAAACAGGCTTGTGTGGGCACCTCAAGGTGGAAAGAACTGTACATAAACAAGCAGAGAGCAGAGCAGCCCAAACTCAAAAGAAGCCTGGGCTACAAAGTGAGACCCTGTCCCAAAAGGAAGGAACCTGGTGTGATGGCGCACATCTTTAATCTCAGCACTCTGGAGGCAGAGGCAGGAGGATCTCTGTGAGTTTGAGGACAGCATGGTCTACACAGTGAGTTACAAGGCCAGTCAGGGTTATGTAGTGAGACCGTGTCTCAAAAAATAAACAAACAAACAAATAAGCAAGCAAGCAAGCAAGCATACAGTCTTTTGAATTAGGGCCCTTGTTTTGAACTTCATTCCCACCATCTATCTTTGACACAACGGAGAAATCACAGTAAAGAATCTACTTCTCCTCTGGTCTCGCCCTGCCCAAGACTCAAGGGAGAAACGGACCTGGAGATTGCTTTTCAGCTTGAAGGCAAAACACTCTGTCTTACCTTAGAAACCCAAAGAAGCCACTGGTTCCTGGTTCTTTGGGTGTTGGTGGGTTGCTATGTTGCAGTGGAGGGATAACTAGCTCTGGCAGGCTGTGCCCCAACTTAGAATCTGTAAGGAAAACATTCGGGCAGGGAAAAGAGACTGGCCCACAGGCTCCTTGAATCTGAGAGATCACAGGGCAGGCACACACCAGGAATTATTTAGAGCCAGGTGAAATGTTTGCTCTGACCTTTCCAATTTCATCTCAGCTCAGTAAAATTCTATTCTGTCCTTGGGTGTATTTTCAAAGTCAGGCTTGAGATATTTACACAACTCAAGCCTCAGCCATCCACCAGAGCTGACATGTTTCTACAAGGAACCACAACTTGTCCAGTAATTCACATGCTCACATCCTGCATCTGGATTACTGCATTCCACTCCAAGTCCTTGTGCTAGGTAAGAGATCAGAAAGCTGGAAGGGCATGCCTCGTTGGGCATTCACAGGCCTTGTAGAGCACCTGTCTATACCGTCAATTTATTTGTTTTTTGAGACAAGGTTTTTTTTTTGTTGTTTATTTTATTTTATTTTATTTTTATTTTTATTTTGCAATACAATTCAGTTCTACATATCAGCCACGGATTCCCTTGTTCTCCCCCCTCCCGCCCCCCTCACCTTTCCCCCAACCCGCCCCCCATTCCCATCTCCTCCAGGGCAAAGCCTTCCCCGTGGACTGAGATCAACCTGGTAGACTCAGTCCAGGTAGGTCCAGTCCCCTCCTCCCAGGCCGAGCCAAGCAATCCTGCATAGGCCCTAGGTTTCAAACAGCCGACTCATGCAATGAGCACAGGACCCGGTCCCACTGCCTGGATGCCTCCCAAACAGATCAAGCCAATCGACTGTCTCACCCACTCAGAGGGCCTGATCCAGTTGGTGACCCCTCAGCCATTGGTTCATAGTTCATGTGTTTCCGTTCGTTTGGCTATTTGTCCCTGTGCTTTATCCAACCTTGGTCTCAACAATTCTCGCTCATATAAACCTTCCTCATTCTCGCTAAGTGGACTCCCAGAGATCCACCCGGGGCCTAGCCATGGATCTCTGCATCCAGATCCCTCAGTAGTTGGATGAGGTTTCTAGCACAACAATTAGGGTGTTTGGCCATCCCATCCCCAGAGTAGGTCAGTTTGGGCTTTCTCTCGACCATTGCCAGCAGTCTGTTATGGGGGTATCTTTGTGGATTTCTGTGGGCCTCTCTAGCGTTTTGCTTCTTCCTATTCTCATGTGGTCTTCATTTACCGTGGTTGAGACAAGGTTTTATGCAGCCAAGGTTTTATGCAGCCCAGGCTAGCCCCTAACTCGCTATGCAGTGAATCACTGCAGGTGTGCACCTTGCCAGGTTTTGTGAGGTGCTGGGGACTGTCCCCAGGGTTTTATGCAAGTGAGGTGAGTACTTTACCAGCTGAGCTCCAGCTCCAGTCTCTGCACCTTCAACCTTAATGCTGAGGCCCCAGGGGAAGAGGAGAAAATGCTTCCCAGAAAGAGTTCTTCAACCCCACAGAAGAGGGAACCACATCCCTTCCAACATCCTTTTGAGCCCTCCTACTTCATTAGGAAATGTTTTGGAATTGCTGGACTACTGAGTTCACTGTCAGAAGTGAGGGGAGGCTGGGCATGGTGGCTCGTGCCTATAATCTCAGCATACAGGAGGCTCAAGAGTTAGAGGTCAGCCTGGACTCTACCACAAGAGCCTGTCCCAAAGAACAAAACCTCCCACCAAACAAGAATCTCCCCAAACCTACCTTGTTCCTGCACATCAGTAGCATCAGAAGCTGGGGTATCCTGATATTCTTGCTGGGCTTCTCCTTCTCTGTTCTGTTAAAAAAAAAAAAAAAAAAAGGCCAACGATAAAATACTTCATCCTACAAGACCTGTAATCTGGGTGCTACTGGCTTCTGACAGCCCAGGCCAAGTCCTATACGTCCTTCTGTAGGACTATTCTGTTCACTCCAGCTTCCTAACATAGTCCCTCTAAAGCCATATGCTGCAGGAGATCAGAACAAGCCCACCTGGGCATGCCTCTCCACCCCTATGGCTGAGAACCTGCTGGTGCTAAAGCCTGAAGAACCAAATGTCATTTTGGAGACACACTCAGTCCACAGGGCAAGGCTACCCCACAAGCCAGTGTGGTGAGGCTGCCCCAGGAGTCTGCAGTGTTGTGGTTGCAAAGTGGGTGGCAGTTGTCAAGGAAGGCTTCACAGGGAAAGTGACACTTGGATGGAGCTTTGATGGATGAATGGGATTTTGTTGTAATTGGGGTGAGGAGCTGGTCAGGGAGAGCAGGGCTTTCCGGGCAGAGACAGGATGAAAAGGGCACAGTGCCATACTGAGTAAATACAATCAGCATAGCTAGAGCCAGGCATGGTAGAAACATGACAGCTGAACAGCCAGTATAATGCAATGCAATCTTATATCTCTCCATGTGTCACTGCTTGGTAGAAACTCCTGGTTCCAGGTCCACATTTCTAGCAAACATTCTGATGCTCAGAAACATAGGCATACATTTTCTTTGGAATATCTGCCAGCTGGCCTGTCCTCACCAAGCATAGCCCGAGTGCCTGATTGCACAGCAGCATGTATGCTATTCAGGCTGTGCTTCTGGTGAAGAATTTGTACAGGGTGACCGGGGAAGGCAGAGTTGCAGTAAGTCCTGAGGGTCCGCACTGGCCCTTAGTCTAAGCATAACTTTCAAGTTAGAATAGTAGGTCTTTCTGAGATGAGCTTCCTCATAAACCCTTGAAATCCAGGTCTGCAGTAGGTAGGCCCATAACAAAAAAGAAAAATTTTCTAAGTTATTAAAACATTTTGTAGATCTCTGAAGGGTTTGAAGATAACTTGTCTATCTAAAATATATCTACTCAATCTTGAAAACATACCTAATACGACTACAAGTTCTATTATAATGTCTAACTACTAACTTTCATTTTGTTATATCCTAATAGTTGGTAATAACAACACTCAAGGATCAGAAAATTGCATTACATTGTTAAATGAACGGTATAAGTACAATTAGAAATATACATATTCCCATATAGGTGTGAGAGAGCTCCAGGGAGGAAGAAAACCATTCTTTCCTCCTGCCCCTAAACAGAGAGGAAGGATTTAGAAGGCCTAGCTCTAGATTCATGAAAGGATAATAACTTATAAATTTAAGGAAACTATGATTTTTGGACTTAAATCTTGCTGCAGAGATGACCAAAGACAGCAGTATCCATGAGGACTGGGCATAAGGGATCAGAGGGAAAAGGCCATCCCAGAAACAAGGAGATAAGAAGGATAGCTTCCCTTGCAGGCAGTGTACAGGCACAAGCTGTAAGGAAGGAAAGACACAGCTGAGACTGTGGTGCCGCGGGAGAGAGCCAGTGGGTGTCACACCTTGAATGCCACTGACAGTTAAGGGCCAGTTCTGCTGAGAAGTGGGACAGACACGGGGACACACTGTGAGCAGTCTGGTCCACATCAGGGCCATTGATCTGCTCTCTCCTGTCTTTTAATCTTTTCATAGTCTGGGTCTATAGGTCTGGGATCTGAGAGAACAAAAAGAAAGGGTCTTCCCTTCCTTATTCTTCCCCAAACATCTCTCATGAGACAAGTATTGTATTCTTCTAAGCGTTCCCTGCAAAAGCTTTTCAATGTGTTCAGACACGCACAATCCTCTCTGTGCTGTATGTGATCCTATACCCAAACTTCCCACAAAGGGGTGGGGGGATGCCAAGCACTGAACCATAGGAGCAAATTCAATTTTTCCAGCTCAAGTGGCTTGCACTAAGAGTCACTGTGATTACCTTAATTTAGGAGAAATCCTCTCCCTGGGAACAGAGTCTGTGATGGAGGCTGTCTTTGGGCGTTGAGTCAAAATCAATAAACATGCTCCTTTTGCTCAGCTTTTCTCTAAGCCCAGAATCAGGTTGAAAAGGTAATTATGTTGAGTAAGAAGCTGTGGGTACTGTTCTTGCGGGAGATGGTGTGTCAAACTAAGAATAGGAAGGGACGGAGGATAGTGCGAGGGAAATGCTCCTTTAGAGCAATTATCTTGCTTGTGTAGAGCGTTTTGTTCTCCAGAGCTTCGTGTACCCCTCTTGTACTTTTTCAGTTCTCTTCTTGCCTCTCCAAAGGCTGGGAACACAGGAGACAGCTTTCTACCTAACACCTCAGTGGGCTGTGGGGCTGTGACACAAAATTGGGGCCCCATCTTCTAACCCTGTTCCCAGAGGCAGAAGTCTAGATTCCAAGGGCACAGTAGAGTAAACTCCTAGATAAACTCCTAGAACAAGCAGCCAGGTTTACATGTGTATTGGGTGTCCTGGCACACAATATGCCAACAGGAGATAAAATGGTAAACTAGAAATGAAATTGCTTCATTACTTTACTTAAAAATATTTTAGGTAATTCCTGTGATCTTGGTGGACTTAAGGCCTATCACTGTCTAGCCCATGCTGGTCTGTCCAGTAACATTTCTCAGTGCTGTACCCTAAGTTCTGTGTGCACTGGCCTGCAGGCATGAAAAGCATCATACTCTTTCCTCTTGGCCTAGGCTCTTTAAGGGCCTCAGCTTCCCCAGGGAACTCTTTCCTCGTGACCTCTTTGTATTCACTAGGTACGCAGTGCTCCCTGCACACAGCACAGAGATATGTGGCTGTCTGGCCTGACCTTCCTGGGGGCTTTAGAAGCATAACAGGCCAAGTACTTGGCACACAGTAGACACAGGATGGTGTCTTGAATGAATGCATATGGCAGTTCTTTGCTCCTTAATTGATCATGCTGTGGGCCTGGGAAGGGGAAGGAGGTAACTATTAGAGGGAAAAAATGTGCAACTTTGAAGACAGCTATTGGAAAGGAGCCTTAAAATGGAGTAGCCAACATATGAACATCTAAACGAAGGAACAGACCCCCAAATCAATAAAAATCAAAGCAAATAAAATCACTGGGACAGGGGGGCGGTGGTAGCACACACCTTTAGTCCCAGCACTCAGGAGGCAGAGGCGGGCAGATCTCTGTGAGTTCCAGGACAGTCAAAGCTACAGAGAAACCCTGTCTCGAGAACAAACAAAACAAAAATCCCTGGGACAGCCATCACTGTTCTAGAGGCTTTGCTCCTTTGTTTCTTTCTTTCTTTCTTCCTTTGTTTTTCTGTTTTGACAGAGTTTTTCTGTGTAGCCCTGGCTGTCCTGGAACTCACTCTGTAGACCAGGCTGTCCTTGAACTCACAGAGATCCACCTGCCTCTACTTCCTGAGTGCTGTACCTCGCTTTGCTCTTTTTTTTTAAATTGTTGTTGTTTTTACATTTTAATGGATTTATTTTAAATTACGTGTATGTGTGTGAACATGTACATGTGAGTGCAGTACCCACAGAAGACAGAGACCTCTGTGGGTAGGAAAGATCCCTTGGGAGCTGGAGTTACAGGCAGTTGGGAGATGCCTGACCTGAATGCTGGGAATCGAACTCGGGACCTATAAAGAGCAGTATATGATCTTAACCCTGACCCATCTCTCTAGCCCTTTTAATTACTTTATTTTGGGGGAGGAGTAGGAGCAAAGTCTCTGTAGCCCTGACTGGCCTTGAACTCATAGTGATCTGCCTGCCTCTGCTTCACCAGTGCTAGAATTAAAGGCGTTAGCAATCATGCCCTGGCTTAACTATCTTTACAATCTTTATTTATGTAGACACGTGAGTGTGTGGTGCACGAGGTATGCTTGTGTCATGTCAGGTACAAGAAGTCGGAGCACCTCGTGTGAGTCAGTTCTTCCTTCCACCATGTGCGTCCTCGGGATGCAAGTCCAGTCATCAGACTTGGAGCAGGGGCCTTTGCCAAACGAGCCATCTCACTGGCTCTTTGTTTTTGTTTTTTAATTAAAAATGTATTTACTTACATGTGTGTGTACATAGTGAAGGTGCCCACAGAGGCCAGAAGATGGTGTTGGACCTCCTGGAGCTAGAGTTCCAGGCAGTTGTGAGCTGTCCAACATGGATACTGGAACTGAATTCAGGTCTTCTGCAAAAGCAGCAAGTGCTCCGAAGGGCTGAGCCATCTCTCAACCCCTTTGTTTATTTCTTTAAAGACTGGGTCTAGCCTGGAACTCTCTGTGTAGACCAGGAGGACTGTAAACTCAAGAGAATTCAGATCCTGCCTCTGACTCCTAAGTGCTGAGATTAAAGGCATGTGCCACCATGTCCAGCTTCCTCCACTTTTTTGTAAAACAATTTAAAATGTATTCTTTCACAGTCCCACGCATGTAAAATAAAGTATTTAGATCACCCTTACTCCCCATTCCACTCTCCTTCCCTCCTCCCCTCACTCTGCAGCCCTTCTTCCCAGCACATCTACCCCTAGCTCCCTGCTGCCATGGCTCTCTCCTTAGAACCCATAACCTAACCAGGCTTCTTGCATGTATACAGGTGTAGGGTTATTTGCAGGATCATGGGCAGCTTACCAGTGGCTACACTCCTGGATAAAATGATTGTCCTCCCCCAGCAGTTCATGAACTGCCAGCACCTCAGCTAGGGGCTGAGCTTCATGTGCCCTTCCCCAGTCCACGAAGGGAGATAACTAGCTAGATCTTATACAGGTTAGATCTTGTACAGCTTTTATTCAGATAACCACTGCTGCTGTGAGCTTATGAATGACTGACCAGTCATGCCTGGAAGGCATCACTTCACACATCACTTCACCCCACGCCCAGCTCCTACATTATTTCTTCCTTGTTAAGTTTTTTCAGACAATGTCTCACTCCACAGACCTGTCTGACCTGAAACTTACAGTGTAGTCAGGCTGGCCTCAAACTTGCAGCCATCTCACTGCCTTGGCCCAAGTGCTGGAGTTACAGCATGTGCTACTTACGACTCCTTACCAACTTCTGGGGCTGCCACATGCCCACCTCATCTGCTAAAACTAGACACACCCAGACTCAGACTCCAGTGCAGACTAAGGCAAACATTTTCTACAGTGAGGATTCTACACTGGATTTCATACCCACTCAATACAGGCATATTTTAAATTACAGAACACAAGCAGTTTTTAAGTTGAGAAGACTCTCAACATGAGAAAAGATCCATACAACCACTTTAGAGATAGACTGTGACAAGCACAGAATAGTTGGATGTCACTCTATCTACAGAGAATGACATCCAAGAATGAGTTCAGTCAATTCAATCTGCAGCAAGGACCAAGCTGAGTGTGTGACAGGAACCCCAGCCTTTAACAAAGGAGGAGCCAGCAAGAGCCTCAGAGCTTCCATCTTGATGCTTACCCTCTTGGTTTCCTTCGGGGGCTTCTGATTGCTTAAGGCTTCACTAGAAGTCTCTATCTTGACCCTGAAGTGGGGGAGGAAAGCCCAGGAAATGTCATTGGCTATGGCAACATTACCACATTCAAGCAAATGTAGTCCAAATGAATATTTCAGCAAGCTGGCTATTTTTATACTACTCCTGGCTGGCAGGGAAAATTGTGTGGCAAAATTTCTTTGGTTGTTTTAATTCACAATAAAATTCCAACTGGAGACATTTAAGGGCATGTTTGAGAAACAAAATGTGACTGACAGAGGTATCGGACTATGAAATATTCAGTTGTGTATCAAAACCCAGGGGAGATTTGGGGCCTCATCTCTGTGGGAAAATCAGTTAAATAAAATCAAACTGAGTCTTATACCTCAAGTATGCTCACTTTCCATATGGCTTGTCACTGACACATTTACACAGGGTCAGCCCCTTCATAGTCTGTCTTCACTGCTTATATGTCTAAGGGGCCCTCAGGTACTAGGAGACCTTGGCATAAAAACACCTTGGGCTGGGAAGCAAACCACGTCTTGGATTATTCCAGGTGGCCTCTCTGGGATGCTCAAGAATGACTACATTGTCTCATTGACTAATTCTTCCTATGACAGAGAATCAAAAGGACACACGTAGCCTCTACAATAGGAACTTCAACATGTTGGGATATGCTCAGCATTCCCTCTAACAATTCATGCGCACTACATTGTCTTTTAAGAAGACAAGGTCTCACTAGTATCCCTGGCTGGCCTCTTGCAGTGAGTGATTCTACTTACTGCCTTTGCCTCCTGAAGGCTGAATTTACAAATGTGTACCACCACATATACAATATCTTGCACACATTTACATTTTACCCAATTGCTCATGGGATGAAACAGAGTTCTATTTTATTTGTTCTCATTCTTTCAAAGTTTTTTTTATCTGCATGTTCATGTATGTATAAAGGGTGTGAATGCACACTCATGTACACCTGTGTGGAGGGCAAAAGACAACCTCCAGTGCTGTTTCTCAAGCACTGTTCACCTGTCTGTTTGAGACGGAGTCTCTTACTGGCCTGGAGCTTGCCAAGCAGGCCAGGTTGGCCAGCCACTTGCCCACATCTCTCCAGCACCAGTTATAAGCCTGGGCCACCACGCCTGGCCGCCCCCACGGGTTCTGGGGATTACAGTCAGGCCCTCATGCTTGCATGGCAAACACCTTACCAACCCCACTATCTCTTCAGTGTCCTTCTGTCTTTGTATAATATTCTGAGACTTCCTAAGTTTTGTGCCTTCTACAATGTAATACCATATGTATTCATTGACTATGTTGAGCTCAGAGTTACAGATCTGTGTTTCCTCTTAGCCTTTATGTTTTTCTCCTCCTCCTCCTCCTCCTCCTCCTCCTCCTCCTCCTCTTCTTCCTCCTCTTCCTCCTCCTCCTCCTCCTCCTTCTCCTCTTTCTTGAGGTCCACCTGCCTCTGGCCCCGGAGTGCTGGGATTAAAGGGGTGCGCCACCAGCACCCAGCCTTCTCTTTTGATGCTAGGGCTTCACACTTATTAGGAGAGCACTCCACCGAGCTATACTCCAGTTCAGCCTCCATTTTTGATGAACAGAACAATCTTACTTTGCTGAGAGACTGTTCAAATTAAAAAGAAAATTTCAACTTCTTCCCTTTCCTCAGTTTACCCCTGGGGTGAGCAAGGTACTGAAGAACCTCCAAATCAAGAACTGCCCAAGGGCAAAATCAACAAGCAGCAATAGATGGCAAAGCCTCTCTCCACCACTGACCTGTGTGGTCCTGGCCTGCTAGGGGAGCTGGGCTCCTCCATGAGTCTTCGTTTCCGCACTGTGGCTTCTTCTGCTTTCTTCTCGACCAGGACCTGCAGGGAGGAAACCAGACTCCTGGGAACCCACCTTTTTCAGAGTGGCTCACAGTTTAGGAGGGCCCAGCACAGAGGACTGCCTACCAAAGACAACTTGTAATACCTCCACTTCAGCAAGATATTCTGGCAGAGACATCGCCTCTGAAATCTAGACAAAGGGAGACACACGGTTTCCTACTTACAGTTGAGATGGGACCTGAGCAGCGACTGAGAGGCAAAGGCAGAAGAGACCAGAGCAGCACTTTTGAGGCAAGAAAGGCAACTTTCATTTTATATAGAAAAATCAAACGTGCTGGGCGTGGTGAAGCGTGACTTTAATTCCAGCACTCAGGAGGCAGAGGCAGGTGGATCTCTGTGAGTCTACAGTGAGTTCCAGGACAGCTAGAGCTGTTACATAGAGAAATTATCTTGAAAAACAAACACAAACGAAACACCCAAAAGAAAGAAAGAACAAACTTACCAACTCAAGAGGACTATCATCTGTTGGTTTCCCTACAATGGGAGATTTGAACAACATAATGGATTGAGACTGTCTTACCTGGGTTTCTGAACTTTATTTCTGGGAACTGGATTGACATACAACTTCTGTCTGGGCCCTTTCCTCTTCTGCCCAATACCACTTTCCCTACCTAATGTCTTTGAGCTTCTGTCCTACCCTGCTCCAGAACAATTGTCACCTCTAAGCTGAAATGGAGTTGACTCTCGCTATACTTATCAGTACGCCCTTCAAAAGAGGATGCATCTTACTACATGCCATGGGTATCCTCAGTTGTTTTCCATCTAATCCCTTGAGGCAGTATCTCTCACTGAATCAGAAACTCAACATTTCAGCTAGGCTGGCCAGCAGTGAGCTCCCAGGATCTGCCCGTCTCTACCAACGCTGCCAAGGTCGGGGGTTATAGGTACATGTGGCCATGGGCAATGGGGATTGAAAATCAGGCCCTTGTGCTTGCACAGCAAACATTATCACCCACTGAACCATCCATCTCTCCAGCCTTCTTTTGTACTTTTCAAATCAAACCAGCAGGTATTTATTTGTCTTTTAGTAAAAATAACCACATACATCCTTTGGAGATTAATAACTGGAAGATAGTGTTAAGATATCAGAGAAGGACCAGCATGGCTTTTAATCCCTGTACTCAGGAGGCAGAAGCAGGTGGATCACTGTGAGTTTGAGGCCAGCCTAGTCTATATAGTGAGCACCAGAACAGCCAGGGTTACATAGTGAGATCCTCTCTCACAAACAAAAACGAAGTGTTTGCATAGGCTCTTTCACTGAATAATTACTCTCCAGCCAGACTATGTATTCCCACCCACCAATACTTATACATACAACCCCTGAAATTAGTGTCTCTTCACTATTTCACAAAGGAGACACAGGGAGATTAAATAAGTTATCATAATGCCTAAGCCACAGGGTACTGAGCCAAGCTCAGAGGAAATGCTCCAGAGCTCTGTCCTGCGCAGTCAGACCCAGTTGGGTAGACAGCTACATGGTACTCAGTTCATACTCCTGCCTATTTCCTGTTCTACCGCCCCCATTCTCATCCCTCTACTGACCTGAAGGCAGATTTCCAGTGAACCATTTCATTTCTACATACAGAGTGAAAACAAACGGGTATGGGGTCAAGATGATTTCTCCCTGTTTAAATTTCAGGTGGGAGACTCTCTCCCACTTGCTTTTATCTGAGGATGGTGCTAAGGAAATGAGGAGGGAGACCAGCTTGCATTCCTGGAAGCTATTTGAAGACTGAGACTCTAGCTTCCTTTCTCTACCTACCCTTCAAACTGCCTTTGGTCTCACTGATTCCACTGGAATCTGGAGTGTGACTTGTAGCTCATTAGCAGCTAGTAAAAGTCAGATGTTCTGTTGCATGCCTACAATCACAACACCCAGGAGCTGAGGCAAGAGGATTACTGTGACTTCCATGCTACCCTTGACATCATCCTGAGTAGCAGGCAGCCATGGCTACCTACCTCAAAAGTCCAGCTGTCAGGCATGGTGCTTTAGAGAGGGCTCCACTTGGGAGGTGGAGGTCGGACCAGGCGCTTACATAGTGATTGCAAGGCCAGTCTGGGCCACATGAGATAGGCCTGTCTTAAACACCAAACTTCACTTTTCTGGGGAAAATAAGACCAGGAAAGAAAGGATACAGGGAAATACAATGAAGTGTTCTGTAACAAAGGGCTGCAGGTTGTCCATGTTTGCCAAGACTGCACGGATAGAATCCTGAAAGATATTTAAAAATTATTTTAATATTGTTGAAGCTCAGCTAATATTTCCATTTAAATCTTTCACTTTTTTTTTTTAAAAAAACACTATGTTCTGTTTATTGTTGCTTGTTTTTCTTTTTTCTTTTCTTTTTTGAGGCAGGGTCTCACTGTGTACCCCTGGCTGGCCTGTAACTCACTATGTAGACAAGGCTGGCCCTGAACTCACAGAGATCTACCACTATAGAGATCTGTCACTATGCCCAGATTTATATTATTTTTTAATTAAAAAAATGTTAAGAGGTTGATTGTGGTCTTAAAAGAAAGAAACAAACAAAAATTGTTGGGGCTGGAGAGATGGCTCAGTGGTTAAGAGCACTGGCTGCTCTTCCACAGGACCCAGCTTCAGTTCCCAGCAGCCACATACATAGTGGCTCACAACCATCTGTAACTCCAGTTCCAGGGGATCCACCACCTCTTCTGGTCTCCATGGGCACCAGGTACTCACAATAGTTATTGATATATAGGTATTTTGCTTTTGCTCAGGGCAAAAAGTCTTGCTTTAAACTTTTTCAAAATTTATTTTTATTTTATGTTCATTGGTATTTTGCCTTCATGTATGTCCATGTGAACCCCTAGAACTGGAGTTACAGACAGTTGTGAGCTGCCATGTGGGTGCTGGGAATTGAACCCAGGTCCTCTGGGAAAGCAGCCAGTGCTCTTAACCACTGAGCCATTTCTCGAGAACTTGCTTTAAACTAGTAATTGATTAGTCCGTTGTGGCGATATTTTATTTGTGTACCTCAATATCTGGCTCCAGGTTTTTATTAATAAGACTGTTTAGCAATTTGTCTTACATCTGGCCCCACACCAAAATAGGATAGATAATGGAAAATTTTCACTGAATTTGTCAAATGCAAATGGACTAGATATTGTTGGTGTATTTACTGCCTGTATAAATTGTATATAATTATTGTATTTATTGTATATAGTGTTTCTTATATTAGTTATAATTTTTTTTATTTTAGACAAAAAATGGGAAATGTGGCAATATTTTATTTGTGCACCCCAATATCTGGCTCCAGGTTTTTATTAATAAGACCGTTTAGCAATTTGTCTTACAGTCCGTAATTAATCTATGCTCCTTAGTCTAAATATTTTGGTATTATAAAATAACTGCTTGGACCACGGGCTGGCTCAGTAGAGAGACTTCCTGTCACCAGGTTTGAGAACCTGAGTTTAATCCCTGATACCCCAATGGAAAGAGAGAACCAGCTCCTGCAAGTTGTCCTCTGACCTGCACATGTGCATTGTGGTGCCTACACACACAAAATAAATGTTTTTTAACATTTATTTTAAATGGCCAGATGGTGGTGACACACACTTGAATCTCAGCCCTTGGGAGGCAGAGGCAGGCAGGATAGCCAGGGCTACACAGAGAAATGCTGTCTCGAAAACAACAACAACAACAACAACAACAACAAATTTCTCTGACTTTTTCTAGGAGGAGGAGGAGTGGATATTGTGACTGAACCTGGGCCTTGTTGTCATGTGTTCTTCCCACTGAACTAGATCCCTCTCCCAAGACCATTCTTGTTTTGTTTTGTTTTGGAACTCAGAGACCCGACTGCCTCTGTCTCCCAAATGCTGGAATTAAAAGCATGTGCTACCACCACCCAGCAACCATTTTTTTCCTATGGAAAAAACTGTGATTTTAAGTCCCAACTTTTGTAATTTTACTTTTTTTTGTGTGTGGGGGGTTCAAGATAGGATTTCTCTGTGTAACCCTGGCTATCCTGGAACTTGCTTTGTAGACCAGGCTGGCCTCAAACTCAGAGATCTGCCGGTCTCTGCTTTCCAAGGGCTGGGATTAAAGGCGTGCGCCGCCGCCGCCGCCGCCGCCGCCGCCGCCGCCGCCGCCGCCGCCGCCGCCGCCGCCGCCGCCGCCGCCGCCGCCGCCGCCGCCGCCGCCGCCGCCGCCGCCGCCGCCGCCGCCGCCGCCGCCGCCGCCGCCGCCGCCGCCGCCGCCGCCGCCGCCGCCACCACCAGGCATAACTTCACTTTTGTAACCATGGTTTTCCTCAAGTTTGGGTCTCAGGAAACAGAAACTATCATTTATTGTTGTATCTGCTATACTAACATGGTGTATTGCTTATAATAGTAGCTAACATCCTTTATGGTGGCAAGTTTCTTTGGCATATACATGTGTTCTGTGGTTATGTGCACGTGTCCACATGCACCTGTGCACACATATAGAAGCCCAGAGTTGATCCTGAGTGTCTTCCTCCATCTCTCCTCTTAGTTTTAGACACAGGGTTCCTCACTGAAGCTGGAGCTCATTGATTTGGTGAAGCTAGCCAGTCTATGAGCAATAGGGATCCAGTGTCTCTGCCTCCCTGGCACTGGGGTCACAGAGTGCTGACCTCAGCTTTTGTGGGTGCTGAGGACCTGAACTCAGGTCCTCATGCTTTTGTGGTAGGTACTTTTTCAGCCTCGAGAGCTGACATTTTAAATCATTAGGCTACACTAATTCTCAGTTAATATTTATTTTCTTCCTTTCTTTCTTCCTTCCTTCCTTCCTTCCTCCCTCCCTCCCTCCCTCCCTCCCTCCCTCCCTCCCTCCCTCCCTCCCTCCCTCCCTCCCTCCCTCCCTCTCTCTCTCTCTCTCTCTCTCTCTCTTTCTTTCTTTCTTTCTTTCTTTCTTTCTGAGACAGGGTTTCTCTGTGTAGCTTTGGCACCTTTCCTGGAACTCACTCTGTAGCCCAGGCTGGCCTCAAATTCACAGAGATCCGCTTGCTTTTGCCTCCTGAGTGCTAAGATTAAAGGTGTGCCACCACCACCCAGCTCCAGTCAATATTTTCTAAAGGAATAAAAGAGAATGATAATATTTGTCCCTAACACTAATAAGGAGTGAAAGAGAACACATAGGGCTGGGGAGACGGCTCAGTGGCAAAGAGCATGGGCTGTCCTAGAGGACCCTGGCTTGATTTCCAGCACTCACATGGCTGTTCACAATCTGTAACTCTAGTTCTAAGGGATCCAACACCCTCTTCTGCCTCTGCAAGCACTGAGCACATGGGTGTTACACAGACATGCATGCAGGCAAAACATTCACACACATAAAATAAATAAATAAAATTTGTAAAAATAAAAGAAAACATATAAAAAGTATTTTGCTGCTAGATATGGTGGCATATAATCACAGCATTTGAGAGGCCAAGGCAGGAGGAGGATTATGAATTCAGGGCCAACCTAGGCTTCATAGTGAGATCTTGTCTCAAAATTTTTTTTAAAAAATGCTTTTCGCGGCCGGGCGGTGGTGGCGCACGCCTTTAATCCCAGCACTCGGGAGGCATAAGCAGGAGAATCTCTGTGCATTCGCAGCCAGCCTGGGCTACAGAGTCAGTTCCAAGATAGTTAGGACTGTTACACAGAGAAACTCTGTCTTGAAAACAAAAAGAAAACAAAAACAACAAAAAACTTTGCAGCTGGGCATATAGTGCATACTTTTAACTCCAGCACTTGGAAAGCTGAAGCAGGAGAATTGCCATTAGTTCCAGGTTATTTCCGGGCTTCATGACAAGTACCAGTCTAGCAAGGGCTACTACCAAATAAGACTCTATCTCAAAAACCAAGAAAGCTGGCTGGAGAGATGGTTCAGAGGTTCTTCCAGGGGAACAGGGTTCAATTCCCAGCACCTATATGGTGACTCACAACCATTTGTAATTCTAGTCTCAATGGATCCGAAGCCCTCTTTTGGTCCCTTCAGACACCTGACACACACATGGTACACAGATATACACATAGGCAAAGTACCCATATACATAAAATAAATAAATAAAAATTTAAAAGAAGAGTTGGGGATGCAACATAGATAGTAGAGTCATTACTTAGTATACATGAAGTCCTAGGTTCAATCCCTAGCATTGTATAAACCAGGTGTAGAGATGTATACCTATAACATACCCAGGGTGATATACACAGGCAGGAGGACCAGGAGTTCAAGGATATCCTCAGATACATAGGCCAGCCTGGGATATATGAGACCTTGCTGCAAAAAATAAAATACACATGCACTCACCCACAAATGCATGCAAAGGACCAACAGTGGAAGCTCATGCTTGAAATCCCAGTACTTGGGAGGCAGAGGCAGAGGCAGAGGCAGAAGGCTCTCTGAAAGTTCAAAGCCATCTTGGTCTACACAAGTTCCAGGCCAGGCAGTAATATATACTGAGACCTTGTGTCCAAAAATAAACAAAAACAAAAACAAACAAAAAAGCAGCTTTCAATCTTTAATATGCACATAAATGTGTGCAAATGTTTTCTAGTCTGGATGTGTGGCAGGTATTGGACACATCTATTTGAAATCCGTACCATAATTCTGAAAACAAGTTAACCTCATTTGACAGGTGAAGGGACAGACTGGGACACAGGACCAGGTCCCCAGAACTACAATTGCTGGCCCAATACTTTGACCAGTTTACAAGCTGTATCCCCACTCAGTCTTCTTTCTGGAAATCTCTAACAAGCAGAGCTGTGCAGAAAAGGAATGAACATGAACTTGGAACAAAGCAATGGCAAATGCTTCCAATTAAAATGAAGACACAGCCACTTGTCAGTGTATTTACTGCCCAGTTTCCTGAACGTCAAACACCAGGCGGTGGTTGGGATCATGGCATTCCCAGAGCCCTGGAAGGCAGCAGTCCTCCGGAAGCTGCTCTGTGCCAACTGCCACAACAGAGCTGCCCTGTCTGGGAACCCTCGTGAAAACAAACAACAACCAGTCTCAAAGGCGCTCATACTTTAGTGAGACTTGAGAAAGGATACAGGCTTTAACATTTCCTGGAAAAAGTGGCTTCTTTGCACTGAGATACCAATTTACCAGGTGGAGTTTGTGACTCCATTTGAGGGAAATAATAGAAGTCTGGGTATGCATTCTTCCTTGGTTTGAGGAGTAAATAATTTCTTCAGAAGTTGTCTGATTTTTTCCTACCTCCAGCTCCTGGATGATGACTTCCTTGTCCTCTATTTCTTCTCCTCTAGAAGGTAAACAGATAGGTACCATAAGACAGTCAGCCGTGTCCAGCACCTGCTCTGTGGCTAAAGAAACCAGATACACTACAGTCTGGCTGACCCAGTGCTCGCCTTACACGGTGTAGTTTGAGCAGCAGTTTCCCCACCCCCAGACTTCTCTGTTAAACTTCCAAGACCTTGTATTCCTGATGTAAAGGTTAATAATTCTCCAGAGCATTTTTTAAAAGTCTACTAAATTGGAGGGGCTCAGAGCATTAGACCTAGGGCTTTGTATATCCAGTGCAAATATTCTACCACTGAGCCACACTTTAAGCCCACTATTTAAATTTATTTGAACTGCCAAGCATGGTGGCACATGCCTGTAATCCCAGAACCTGAGAGGTGGAGGCAGATGGATCAGGAGTTTAAGATAGACTCAGCTACACAGTGAATGAAGTTGGCCTGGGCTGCAAGAAACCCTGTCTCAAAAAAAATTGTTTTAACTGATAAATAGAAACATAAATTTTTATGAGATTCAGGAGATATTCTTTCTTTTTCCTTAAGACAGGGTCCCACTGTATGGCTCTGGCTATCCACAAACTCACTCTGTAGACCAGGCTGGCCTCAGACTCACAGAGATCTACCTATTTCTGCCTCCTAAGTGCTGAGATTTAAGAAATATACCATCACACTGGGTTTCATTGTATCTTAAACTTTTTTAACTTACATTTACTCCCTATTTTTTATTTTATGTGTATGGGTGTTTTGCCTACATGTACATCTGTGCATCACATGTGTGAAGTACCCACATATGGAAAGAGGGCATAGTATCTCCTTAGATTTAAGTTCCAGTTGATTGTGGGTGCTGGTGCTATGGAAGAGCAGCCAAAGCTCTTATCCACTGTGCCATCTCTCTAGTCTCCCATACTGTTTCTTTTAAGGTATGTGTGATGGCTATTCTTGGCTGTCAGCTTGACTACATGTGGAAATAATCAAAACCCAAGTGAGTGGGTACAACTGTGAGGAATTTTCTTTTGATTTTTGATTTTTTTTTGGTTTTTTGAGACAGGGTTTCTCTGTGTAGCTTTGCGCCTCTCCTGGAACTCACTTGGTAGCCCAGGCTGGCCTCGAACTCACAGAGATCCGCCTGGCTCTGCCTCCCGAGTGCTGAGATTAAAGGCGTGTGCCACCACCGCCCAGCAGGAATTTTCTTAATTAAATCATTTGAAGTGGGAAGACCCACTTTTTTGCTGTTGTTGTTTTGTTTTGTTTTTTGAGACAGGGTTTCTCTGTGTAGCTTTGCGCCTGTCCTGGAACTCTCTCTGTAGCCCAGGCTTGCCTCGAACTCACAGAGATCCGCCTGGCTCTGCCTCCCGAGTGCTGGGATTACAGGCATGCGCCACCACTACCCGGCATGGGAAGACCCACTTTTAATCCAGATCTTCTGAGGTGGGAAGATCCACTTTAATCTGGGCCACACCTTCTGCTGGCCGCCTATAGAAAAGACATGGAAGAAGGACGCTTGTTCTCTCTGCCTGCTCGCTCTCGTTCTTGCTGTCAAGTCCATTCCTTCACTGGCATTAGAGTCCACTTCAAGAGCCAGGTATGTACGGAGGACCAGCCGAGACAGTCAGCCTCAGGGACTGACACCTACTGGATTCTTGGACCTTCCATTGGGTGACAGCCATTGTTGGACTAGCTGGACCACAGCCTGTAAATTCCCTTCATTCATATATGTGTGTGTGTGTGTGTGTGTGTGTGTGTGTGTGTGTGTGTGTGTGTGTGTATGTATGTATGTATGTATGTATGTATGTATGCATATGTATACAGCTTCATTCCCTGAGTTCTGCTCCTCTAGAGAATCCTGATACAGTACGTAGCAAATCAAGAAGCACTGAGGAAAAGAACATGTGTGACACTTTAAGTTGCAAACAGAATGAGCTGCTCTTTTCATGCGATAATGTTTTACTTGAATAATTAGCTGATAAACAAATCGTCTGTTCTCCAGCTCTGTGAGGTTAACATTTTCTCAAATATCAATAAAGAAAGCGTGTCAAATCAAGGAAAACAACTGGCAGTATTTGTTGTCAATAATAAGTTTTGGGCTTTTGAGAGAGAATTTTTAAAAAATTATCTATTTCGCCCACAAGACAGGGTTTTTCTATGTAACAGTACTGGCTGTCCTGGAACTCTCTCTGTAGACAGGCTGGCTTCAAACTCAGAATTCAGAGATCCACCTGCCTCTGCCTCCTGAGTGCTGGGATCAAAGGTGTGCACCACCACCACCACCACCACCACCACCTGGTTAATAAATCTTTTTTTCTTTTAACATTTATTTATTTATTTATTTATTTATTTATTTATTTATTTATTTATTTATTTTATGTGCATTGGTGTTTTGCCTTCATGTATGTCTCTGTGAGGGTGTTGGATTCCCTGAAACTGGAGTTTCAGACAGTTGTGAGCTGACATGTGGGTGCTGGGAATTGAACCTGGGTCCTATGGAAGAAGCAGCTAGTGCTCTTAACCACTGAGCCATCTCTCCAGTTCCCAGCTAATAAATCTTAAAAAACCAAAAACCAAAACATAAAAACCTGAGTATGGTGGTGTATACTTTTGATTCCAGTATCCAGGGGCTAAACAAGAGGACCATAGGTTTGGGGCCAGGGCTACACAGCAAGACCTGTCTCAAAACAAAACCATAAGCCAAACAACAAAAAAGTAAGGTATGAAAATATGAACCAAACTTGGTTATTTTTATAATTGTTTTGGCTCTTTAGTGTCCTTTGAAAATTTTTTTTGTTTGTTTGTTTTTTGAGACAGGGTTTCTCTGTGTAGTTTTGGTTGGTTGGTTTGTTGGTTGGTTGGTTTTTCAAGACAGGGTTTCTCTGTGTAGCTTTGCACCTTTCCTGGAACTTGCTTTGGAGACCAGGCTGGCCTTGAACTCACAGAGATCCACCTGGCTCTGCCTCCCAAGTGCTGGGATTAAAGGCGTGCGCCACCACCGCCCGGCCTCTGTGTAGTTTTGGTTCCTGTCCTGGAACTCACTCTGTAGACCAGGTTGGCCTTGAACTCACAGAGATCCGCCTGCCTCTGCCTCCCGAGTGCTGGGATTAAAGGTGTGTGCCACAGCTGCCCGGCATTCTTTGAAATTTGCTATGAATTTTAGGGCAGCCGTTTCCATTTCTGAATAAATGTCACGTAGGTCATTTGGCCAGCATTGCCGTCTTAATGACGTGCCTTCTAAGCTGGGGACACAAAACACCTACTATGTCCTTTAGTTCTCGGTGCTGGGCACAAAGCCCAGTGTGGTGTGTGAGGGAAGTGTTCTACCACTGAGCTACATCTTCAGGCAAATGGGATTTTAATCTCCTTCAGCAATAATGTATAATTCTTAAGGAATACTTGATTGTGAGGTACTTTGATGTTTTTGACATTATTTTAAAGGGAATTGTTTTTCTTTTTAATTTTTTACTTTTATTTAATAATTTGTGTGTGTGTACATGTCCATATATGCACCTGTGTGTTCTTTAGGGTTCTCTATGAATAAGATCATATCAACTTGTATACTTTACTTTTCTTGTCTAAGTGCTCTGGCTAGAACTCCAGTGTGAGGTTGAGTAAAAGTGGTAAAAGTGGATGTTTTGATTTTTGTTGTTGTTGTTTTTTGACTTTTTACTTAATGAATAATAATTATTATTATTTTATTAATTTTTGAGACAGGGTTTCACTATGTAACCTTGGCTAGCAAGGAACTGGTTCCACAGACCAGGCTGGCCTCAAACTCATAGAAATCCACCATCCTCTGAAAGTTAAATTTTTTAATAATGTGCATATATTTGTGTCTGTGTGGGTGTATAGATGTGTGTGGTTACCCTCAGAGATAAGAGGCATCATATCCCCTAGTGCTGTAGTCACAGGCACTTGTAAGACATCTGACTTGGGTTCTGGGAATCTTTTTTTGTTTTGTTTTTTTAAGACAGGATTTCTCTGTATAGCCTTGGCAGTCCTGGAACTCACTCTTTAGACCAGGCTGGCCTCAAACTCAGAGACCCGCCTATCTCTGCCTCCTGAGTGCTAGGATTGAAGGTGTGCACCACCACTGGCTGGGTTCGGGATATCTTATTCCGGTCCTTTGGGAGAGTAATACCTACTCAGCTGCTGAGTCATCTCTCCAGGCCCTATTTTTATCTTATGCACATGGGAGTTTTGCCTGTATGTATGTCTGTGAACCACATGCATGTGGTACCTGTGGAGGCTAGGCTAGCAGGCCATCAGACCCACTGGAACGAAAGTTACAGAAGAGGTCACCACATAGGTTCGGGAAACAGAACCCGAATGTGGAAGAGAAGTCAGTGCTCTTAACTGACAAGTAATTTCTCCAGACCTATTTACAATTGATTGATTGATTCATGGTGGTTTTGAGACAAGGCCAAGCTGAAAAAATTCTGAGAAATATCTTCTCAAAGGCATACTGTCCCTACTTTAGGAAAGTATATCAATAACAAATATAATAAATACTAAGCACCTGGGAAAGCCTAACCAGGTGCTACAGCAGTCACTCCCCTGGACTGAGTCAGGCAAAGACATGATGACTAGGAGGAATGCACTTGCCTGTGCTAGCATGAGCTATCTTCCTACCTTTCAAATTACCTGATACTGTCACCGTATCTGATTTTGAACTTATACACATTGGGTCCTGCATGAAGGAACCTTGTCTCTGGAAATGGGTAGGTGAACGGTTTTAAACTCATTGTTTCTTGATGGTAGCCTAAAAAAAAAAAAAAGTAGAAATATTAATGAATAAAAAGCAAAAGATGAGCCAGGCAGTAAAAAGCAAAAGATGAGCCCAGCGGTGGTGGCACATGCCTTTAATCCCAGCACTTGGGAAGCAGAGGCAGGCGGATCTCTGTGAGTTCAAGGCCAGCCTGGTCTACAGAGCGAGGTCCAGGACAGGCTCCAAAGCTACAAACAGACCCTGTCTCAAAAGATGGCTCCTTAAATATAGGAAAGGAAGCCTGTCAATCTGCAGCATCTCTTGAAGGGTAAATGTTCAACATAGTACCAGTGCCCATGAACCAGGCTCACTCAGCACTGCTATTGATTACCTGGACCCTTTTCTTACCTAGTCAGTGAAAATAAATGGTGTGTTGGACCCACATCTATATAAAGGCAAAAAGACAACATTCAAGTTTGAATTTTATGACTGTGCTGGTTAGTTGTGTTTTTATTTTGTTTGTTTGCTTTGTTAACTTGGCATAACCTAGAATCATCTGGAAGAGAGAACCTCAACTAAGGAAATGCTTCCATCAGATTGGCCTGTGGGCAAGTCTGTGAGGTACTGTCTTGATGCAGAGGTCATGGAGTGGAGCTGCTTACTGCCTGGCTTCCCATGACTTGCTCAGCCTACCTTCTTATAGAACCCAGGACCAAGAGCACAGGGATAGAGCCCCACCCACCATGGGCTGGGTCCTCCCCCATTGGTCACTAAATAAGAAAATGCATTAGAGCTGGATCTCAAGGAAGCATTTCCTCAGCTAAGGCTCCTTCCTCTGGTGACTCTATAGTGTGTGTCAAATTGACACACAAAACCATCCAGTATAGGCCCAGCGCTACTGAGCTCAAGTGATCTTCTTGCCTCAGCCTTCTGAATAGTTGGGCTATAAAGTGCGTCACAGTGACCAATAAAAAACTACTTTTGCTACACCCTACCCTAAATGCTCAGTATGTATTTACCTGACTTGTCACAAGCCTATGCAACAAGTATTATAGACTCGACAGACTAGGAACTGAAGCACTATCGAAGGAGTGTATGTCCATCAACCATTTTGTTAGCCCACCTTCTAGTTACAAAGAGGAAGAAACCAAGATAATAAGCATAAAATCATTTTGTAAATAGTAAAATATCTTATAGACATTCATGTAAGTTTTTTTCTTATTTTCTTTTTTGGTTATTTGAAACAGGGTTTCTTTTTCTTTTTTTTTTTTAAAGATTTATTTATTTATTGTGTGTGTATACAGTGTTCTGACTGCACATATTCCTGCAGGCCAGAAGAGGGCGCCAGATCTCATTACAGATGGTTGTGAGCCACCATGTGGTTGCTGGGAATTGAACTCAGGACCTTTGGAAGAGCAGCCAGTGCTCTTAACCCCTGAGCCATCTCTCCAGCCCGAAACAGGGTTTCTATATGCATTCCAGCAAAGCCTTGAGCTCATTAATGTGGCTAATGTAGTCCAGACTTGTCTCTCATTCACAACAATCCTCCTGCCTCAGTATCCCAGAGTGCTGGGATTACAGGCATGCACCACCACATTCTGTACTATTTTCATTATTTTTCCTCTATATTGTCTTACACCATTTCTATTCAGCAGCAGAGAATCTTGTACGGCAGAATTATAAAAGCTATGTGCCAAAGAAACGGAATTTCCTGAAATTTCCAAAGTTAAGTCTGAGCTGCCAGTAAGGAGATACCCCAGTGTCTGATCCCGGCTGTTTGGGAATGGAATGGGAGGTGGTTGGAGCAGGGACTATTTAGACTAGAATTTCAGTCAAAAATGAAAAGCAATAGTTGCCAACTGCAAAGTTACCAGAGGGAAAATGCTATGCATATCCTGAGAAAAAAGTTGTGAACGTCCCTTGTCCAAGGCATGGCAGGAATCCAAGGTAAAGGTGATCAGTTTGGGCTCCAGACAGATTTTCTAAGGAGGTAGGGGGCCCACCTGGTGAGGCTTTGGTTGCTGCCACAGAAACTCAGTTCTTCAGAGTTATAGACACAGTGACCTCTGCATAACCTAAGACCTAGGGGTGCCTGAGCAAAAGAAAGATGACTATCCCAAGAGGAAACTCCATGTCCTGCACTACAGCTGGCTGGCTGAGAAAACAAAAACTCTCTTCTAGCTGAAGCCTGTTCCTATTAGTTGCTGGCTGCCTGCTTCAGATACAGATACCACACACTAATTACCTCATTTGAAAATAAAGAGTAGACAGCATACTCCAAAACAACCAGATGGCAGTAGTGGCTCAAGGATTTCACAGGGTTATTTTCCAACTTTGACTACTGTCGTCATGGTGACACTAGGTGCCAGTAACTACTATTAGGTTGACAGGACCTTATAGAATAGAGGTCAGACTCTCGACCCATTTGTGGGTGACTACAAGTCATGACAGAAGGAAACAAAGAAGAAAAGTTACAGGAAGTATGGCTTTGTGGAAAAGACATAGGATGAGATTAGGAGACCACAGCTTAAGGGTTTTTGTTTTGTTTTGTTTTTTTCTTTTCCCAAACAGGATCTCACTATGTAGCCCAGGCTGGCCTGGAATTCAAAATCTTCCTGCCTTGGCCTCCCAGTGCTGGAACGTTTGACTTCTGCTTCATAGAAATTAGGCCCTGAGAAGTAGCTCAGCCTCTTTATTTCTTAATTTCTACAGCAGATACAGCAATGATTCTACCTATTCCTGGAATTGCAGGAATAAATGAAATACTGTTATAAATAGCCACCAAGATGTTATATAAGCATCAGCTATTAATGGTGGATTTTTTGTGCATGTGTGTACAGCGCACACATGACTGTGTGGGCAGGTCCTCCTGTGTGTGTAATGTGGAAGCCAGAGCAGGACATTTGGAGTTTTCCTCTATCAATTTCAGCCTTTCAGCCTCCAGACCAGGTTTCTCACTGAACCAGAAGCTTCCTGTTTTGGCTAGGCGGGCTAACCAGTGAGCTCCCAGCATCCTCCTGTCCCCATTCCCTGTCCCTACTCCCATACCCTCAATGCTGGGGTTATAGGCAAGTGTAGCCATGCCTGGGTTTTTATATGGGTGCTGAGGATTCAAACTCACATCTTAATGATTACAGATCAAACACTATTATCCACTGACACCCCCCCACACACACACCCCAACCCTTATTATTGAAGAGGTTTTCTCTTAATGCTTTACAAGAAAAGCAAATTTGGGGCTGGAGAGATAGCGGTTGAGAGCACTGGCTGCTCTTCCAGAAGACCTGGGTTCAGTTCCCAGCACCCACATGGAGCTCACTACTGTCTGTAACTCCAAGATCTAACACCCTCATACATATATGCAGGCAAAACACCAATGCACACAAAATAAAATAAATAATTTAAAAAAAAAAAGAAAAGCAAATTTAAGAGAGCAAAACTGGATTGGGCAGTGGTAGCACATACCTTTAATCCCAGCACCTGGGAGGCAGAGGCAGGTAGATCTCTTTGAGTTTGAGGCCAACCTGGTCTACAGAGTGAGTTCCAGAACAGCCAGAGCTACACAGAGAAACCTTGTCTCAAAAAACAAAAAAAGGAAGAAAAAAAAGACAACCAAAAACTTGCCGGGCAGTGGCGCACGCCTTTAATCCCAGCACTCGGGAGGCAGAGGCAGACGGATCTCTGTGAGTTCGAGGCCATCCTGGGCTACAGAGAGAGTTCCAGGACAGGCTCCAAAGCTACACAGAGAAACCCTGTCTCGAAAAAAAAAAAACTTAACACAGACACACAATCTGACATGAGATTCCCAAATATTAGATTTAAACAACATCTAAGAAAGATTTTTCAAGGTTTGAGTAATTTGTTTCACATACAGAAACATCTGGGTCAGTACAGAACCTAATGTGGGACTGAATGCTAATGAGGATAATACGAGTTGCCATGGAAGATAACAGTAGGGTTTCGAAGCCACTAAACATATCTGGAGGAAAAATTCTCTACAGCATTGGAGAATAAAGAGTGTCTACATTTATTCAACATACATTTGCACAGCAAACCTAACCTGGTAGGCTACTGAGAACACAAGTGAGTGTGGACAACAATGTAGGAGAATCCTATTAATGTACAAACCCAGCTTTCAGGACTGAGATCAAGGGCATATGACTACTTTCTCCTTCTCTTTCCAAGTCCTTGGTAGTTTCAAGAGATCTTCCCATTATTGCTGAAGTAGAGTCAGAATCTCTAAAAGCCTGTATTTCCAACTAGAGCAGTGGTTCTCAACTGTGGGTCATGACCCTCTGGGAATAGAACAATTCAGTCCACAGGGGCTGCATATCAGATAGCCTGCATATCAGATATTTACATTACAATTAATAACAGTAGGAAAATTACAATTATGCAATAGCAATGAAAATAACTTTATGGTTGGGGGTCAGCACAACATGAGGAACTGTATTAAAGAGTCACAGCATTAGGAAGGTTGAGAACAACTGAACTAGAGATTCACAGACAGGACACTTAAGTTCAGAGAATGTAATTTCAGAGGGCATTGGAGGGAAGTCACTTTGCCAAAGGAGGAAATGCTTTTCAGGCTCACATAGTCCTGTATGGAAGCAGGTCTAGACTGGATTGCTAAGATTATAATTCCTTTGGTCCACAAAATTTCCACTACAGCCTATCATCATTTAGTCATTTTATTAAACTATATCTCTGGGCACTCTCTTGACTCAGGTAACTCTAGGCAAACTCATTCTGGGTTCAAATACATCAGGCCAAAATATAAACTTTTCTGATTAGTGGTTATTAAAATTATAATTTGGGATATGAAGAGTTAAAACATATTTCTCTTCAAGATGTATATTCAAGAGCTGGGCATGGTGAGTGGTATATATCTTTAATCTCAATAGAGGCAAGATGATCTCTATGAGTTTGACACCAACCAGCCTGGTCTACATAGTGAGTTCCAGGATAGCCAGGGCTACATAGAGAGACTTTGTCTTAACAAAGCAAAAATCCATTTTCTTTTTTCAAAGAAAACTT